GGGAGGCGGAGAGCGGCGGCGAGCTTGAACGAACGAACGAACGAACGGACGAAAGAAACGGCTGGCGGTGATTTAGCAGCGGCGGCGGCGGCGGACGACGACGAACGAACGACGATGATATCACAATGTTGTTGATGTTAAGTACTACGTACGAGTGAGAGAGACAGAGAGAGAGACAGAGAGAGTGAGACAGCGAGAGAGTGAGAGAGAGAGGAAGCGGCTGAGAGATCCACAGACCGCAGGAGATTGGCGGACAGACAGACAGACAGACAGACAGACAGCAGGAGTGTCTGTCCCTTCGTTGCGGGTGTCTCTCTCTGTCGGGGATTGGTGCGCGTGCATTCTCTTCTCCAATTCTGGCTGTCTGTCTGTCTGTCTGTCTGTTTGTCTGTCTTTAAGTCTGTCTATCTGTCTGTGTGATGCGCATGAGAGGTGCTGATGGTTCAGGCCTCAGTTGAACCAACAGGCCATTCCATAGGTGGAAGAGAGGGAGGAGAGAGTTCTCACCTTTCTTCCCACCTCCTCGCTCAAACAATGGGCACGGGCACTCTGCCACCCGCCGCGCCGCCGCCCTACTCGGACGCCTTTCCCTCGCTCACCACCACCACCGCATCGTCGTCGCCTCCCGCCGCCGCCGCAAACACTCCCACCACCACCACCGATGGCGGATCGTCGTCGTCGTCGTTCGCCGCTCCCCTCCTTCCCGAATCAGCAACAACAACAACCGCAGGGCCCCGATCGCCCGCCCCCTCATCAACAACAACAGCGGGCAGGAAGAAGCAAGCCGTGCTGTGGGTCGACGACCAGCCGTCCAACAACGCACACCTGGTGCGCCGCGTGCAGAGCGAGTCGGACGTCGAGGTGATCCTCGCCACTTCGACGCGCCAGGCCATGTCGATCGTGGCGCAGCTGCGCCCGCGGCTCGTCGCCGAGTACGACCTGCGCATCATCACCGACATGCACCGCATCGAGGAGGGCGGTGCAGAGGCCCCGCTCGCCGGCATCGACCTCGTCAGAGAGCTCCACAGCCTCCGCCTCCGCCTCAAGGTCCTCCTCTTTACCAGTTTCACAAAGAACCTCGACGCATGGCGCACCGCCTTTTCCGAGGTCGATCTATCGGCTACCGTCGACGAGCGCCTCGCGCTGCAGTTTGCCCTGTTCAAGACGGCCTAAGGGGGCTAGTGGCGGCAGGGATGAAATTTTTTTTTTTTTCCTTCTTTCCCATGTAGGTTAGGTCTGCTGTCTGTTCCAGTAGTTGTCGTTGTTGTTGTTGCTGTTGTTGTTGCTGCTCTTGGTTGCGTGGCGCGCATGTTTTTTGCTTTTGGTTTGAGCGAAGGGAGGAGGGTGTAACGAGTGCCCCATCAACTGGATTGCTTGCCCCTCCAAACAAAACAAGCCGCCCGATCAAGCAGAAGTCAACCGCCCAAATACAAAAATAACATCCCATTTGGTGATCGATCTTGATGTTATTCTGCCTTTGCGGCAGTGTGACCAGCAGCAAATGAGACCGTGAACAGGTTTGTGCAGGACGGGACCGAACCACCCCAAACCAAAGCCTGGCTTCGTGCGATGACGGAAGATGTTTGATTCTGTCTCTCGGATGTTCTGCTTGTCCTGCGAGAGTGAGAGACACTGGTGCATTCCACGGGAGAGACACCCACTCTTTGTCTCTCTCCAGAACATTCACTCTCTCCCTGTCTCTCTCCCAGTCTCTCTGTCTCTCTGTCTCTCTGTCTGATTCTCAGCAACAGATTGATCGACAGCAATAAACAGGCAGACAGGCAGACCGACAGAAAGACAGAGAGAGACCGGCAGACAGCGAGTGAAACAGACAAAAGAACCAGCGATGGGCTCCGCCGCCGCCGCCGCCAACGATGCCGCCGTCGCCGTCGCGCCCGCACCAGCAGCAGCAGACTACCATCAGCAGCAGCAACGACAACAGCAGCAGCAACAGCTACACGCTGCAGCACCTCCGTCGCCGTCACAGCCGTCGCTTCTACCATCATCCTCATCCTCATCCTTTTCACCGTCAACATCGCATGACTTTGACCCCAGCGGCGTTGCTGGTCCAGACACCGCCAAGCTGGCCGCGGCCATCGACAGCAGTGCCGTCGCCAAGGTCGTCGCCGCCTCGGCAAACCTCCACCGCACGCTCCCGCACACGCTGCCGCGCGACGGCGCGCTGGCGCAGGTGGCGGCCGCCGACGCGCGCTTCGCGGCTCACTGCGTGCGAACAGCCCGCATCGTCACCCTCTCCCCCGTGCTCGCCGCCTGCGCCCGCTTCCTGCAGCACAAGCTGACCTACGGGTCGCCCGCCGAAATCGACTTTTACGACCGCTTCAACATGAGCGTCGGCGACTTTGTCGCCCACCTCATCGCCGACCGCCCGTTCGCCTTTGTCGGCCCCGACGACTGCACCGCGTTCCACTTTGGCGACGGCGGCTCCGTCCTCGACGGCCGCCGCATCTGGGACCGCATCGGAAAGGCACCGGACGACCACGACGACGACGACGGCGGCGGCGGTGTCGCCAACGACGTCCTGGGCGGCGACGGCGTCGCGCTCCTCGGCGGCGTCGGCCTCGGCAACTACATGTCGTACCACGAGATGCAGCTGGCCGCGTTCATTGGCGTCTCGTCGCCCACGGCCTTTTTCAACGCCGGGCGCCGCGACAACCGCGGCGTCGCGCACTCCCCCGACCGCTACGGGGACCCGCCGTTCGAGCCGCGCGGCGTCTACGTCGGCCTCGTCGGCGCCCGCTTCGAGCGCGCCGCTCGCATGGAACGGGAGTACCTCGTCGTCGACCGTCGCCGCTCCACCCCGGCACGCGGCTTTGGCCCAAACGCAGCGGCGTCCAACCCCGCCGCCGCCGCGCGCCTCGCCATCCTCGCTGACCTGCTCGACTACGCCGACCCGACCACCACCTCCGGCGGCGGCGGCGGCGCCCGCACGTTCCCGGCCTTCGACGACGTGGACGCATTCGTGCGCCAGCGTGAGGCATCCGGGTTGCGCCAACAGCACTTTGTGCGCATCGCTGACGACGCCTACTTCAACATGGACGCGTACCGTCGTCGCATCGTCCTGACCATCGCCACACTGCTCCTCGAAGCCAACGACCGCGCCTCCGCGGCGTCCGCCGAGCGGCTCCGCTCCGAGCAGGACGCCTCGCCGCAGACGCCTCAGCCGTCATCGTCGTCCTACGCCGACCCCAACAACTTCAACGACGTCGGCGAGGACGACGACCCCGACGCAACCGCCGAATCCGTCCCCGGCGGCGCCCTCGGCGTCCTCGCCCACGTCCGCGTCGTCGGCTTCGGCCTGGGCGTCTGGCAGCTGCACCCGGCCCAGACCCAGGCCTTTGCCGACGCCGCCGCCGCCGCCGTCGCATCCACCCACCTCCCCTACGTCGCCGCCGTCGAGCTCTGCTGGCTCGGCGACGCCGTCTCCGCCTGCCACTACTCCCCGCCCTCCACCCCTCCCTCCCCTACCACCACCACCCCGCCGATCGCAGTCCACTCTGGCGACGCCCTCCCCTCCGCAGCCGGCAACCCCGTCCAGCTCCTCCTCTCCCGCGCCAACCCCGCCGACCCGCTCCCCCCACCCCCGCCCGCCCTGCTGTCCCCGACCCGCAAGCTCCAGCGGCTCCTCGTCGCCTCCTACGCCTGGGACTCCAACGCCCTCCCCGGGAACGAGTACTGGCGCGGCGACCTCGACACCTCGGGCGACGCCGCCGCCGCCGCCGCCTCGCTGATCGCGGAGGTACAGAACCCGCTGGTCAACCGCGGGCTGCTGGAGAACGTCCGCGCGTTCAGGTTCGACGTCCGCGCGCTCGGGCGAGCGGCGGACGCGGGAGCGGCGGCCGCGGCGGCCGCGGCGGCGGGGATCCCGGCCCCGGCGGCGGTCACGGCGGTCACTGCGGCGGTGGCGGCGCCGTATGACGCGCTGCCCGCCTACGAAGCGTATCCAGGTTCGCGGCTCCTTTCTGCTTCTTTTCTTTTATGTTTTGCTACGCTCACCCCCCTTCCAAAAAAAAAAAAAAGCCGCTCCCGCTCCCGCCCAAGCCCCCGCACTCGCCGCACCCGCCGCGGCTGCCTCCTACCCGCTCGCCGTCGAGCCCGAAGACGACGACGACGACGACGACGGCGCCAACGCTCCCGTCTGGATCGCCGCGGGATCCTACAACCACAACCACCACCACCACCACCACCACCCGCACCACCACCACCAGCAGCCCCACCAGCAGCCATACGCGAGCGCGCACGCGGCGGCGGCGTCGGCGGCGGACGTTGTGGCTGCGCACGCGAGGGAGGCCGCGCGGGCGCGCCCAGGCGGGTTGAACAGCTTCTTGCAGCAGCAGCAGCAGCAGCAGCAGCAGTGGGGAGCGTCGTCGGCGGGCGGCGGCGGTGCCGGTGCGGGGGTGGTGATGGGGGGTGTTTTGTGTGCGCGAGTGTGTGTTTTTTTTTTTGGTATTTTTTTTTTTTGTGTTGGCGGCCCCCCCCATTATTTCTGTTTCACCTTCCCCCCTCTCCTCCCCTCCTCTCCGTCCTTTCTCTCCTCGCTTTTTCCTATCGCTATCCCTTGTGTTCGCTAGTCCTCTCGCCGTCCCCCCCCCTCTTTCTCCTCTCTTTCGTCTCTTTCTTGCGCGACGAAACCACGAATATCACACCCCATTTTTGGCGAATCAATCAACTGACTCAAAAGTTCGATGACCGCAATACTCACCTTTGTGGAGGAGACCGCCGAGATCCCAATTTTCTCGTTTCCTTTTTTCTCTTTTCCCATTTCCCGAAATGTAGTGTTGGATAATTTTATCGGGTAAAATCAGGTTTTCAGCGACATGAAGAGAAAAAAAAAAACCCACCATTTTGCCTGCCGCGAGGCTCGAAGGGACCAACCAAATAGTGTTGAGAGGAACAGAAACAAGGGAGGAGAGATTTTAAGCATTTCTCAAACCTGTTCTCTATTATTTAGATATTGTTTGTTTGGCGGTTGCAGTGCGCACGGCAGCGTGGTGCAGTGTAAGCACGTCGATGGCTCATAACCCGAAGGTCGGACGATCGAAACGTCCCGCTGCTATATTCCGCCTCCATTGTCCTGCCCTCCCCCGAAAGCTGTGTTTTCGTTGACGCAGGGCTGGAAAAATGGCTCCGCTTATGAAAGCGTCTATCCAACCACTTCTGAGCACTGCATCGAGAAGCGATTCAAATACAGGCAATTGATTGGCCCACCACATTCTTCGGAGTTGTGTGTACTTTTGTGTTTCCTTCGCCATTACATTGCGTTCTCATATGCAGAGAGAGCGATTTACGACGGCTTAATAGATTGTTGAGCGAAGAACGTAAAAAACGTGTGTATTGCTGCCCCCCAGCCCTCCTCTGCGCATCAAACTCAGTACGGCAACAACAACAACAACAACAACAACAGGCACAGGCACAGACACACACACACAGACACAGACACAGACACACAAAGGAGACGGACGTGTCTGTGTTGATTGTGTGTTCTCGTTCCACACAGCCAGCAGCCAGCCACACGGTGAAGCTCGGAACCGTCCGACCGGATTCCTCCGAGCCCGAAAAGGGAAACACGGCGCTTGTTTGCATTGTGGGATGATGATGGAAAGAGAGAGAGAGAGAGAGAGAGAGGCAGAGAGACAGACAGACAGAGAGAAATACCGACAGAGACAGCGAGAGATAGAGAGAGAGAGACAGACAGACAGACAGAGAGAGACGTTCGGCTCAAGTCTCGGAGCGTTTTTTTCGTCCCAAGAAAAAATGAAAGGAAAAAAAAAAAAATGATGTGATTTTTAATGTGGAGCGCGGCACATGGGTGGGTATGTTCCATCTGTTTGTTTGGCACAAGTCTGATGTAGGTCAATCAATCAGCCTGTCTGTCAGTCAGTCTGCGAGTCTGTCTGTCCCAAGGAGTGAGGAGGATTAAGAAGACAGAGACACACAGAGACCAATCAAAGGTTCCGCCGTGTGTGTGTGAGCGAGAGAGAGAGTGTGTGTGAGTGAGAGAGTGTGCTGCTGGCAGAGGGAAAACAGAAAGAAGGAGACAAACAAAACAAAGCACCGACCGCCCCTCTCCCTCCAGTCTCCAGTCGCGCGGGCGCAAAGGACAAAAAAAGATTTAAAAAAAAAAAAAATAACAAAGAGAAAGAAGAAGAAGAACAAGAAGAAGAACAAGAAGAAGAAGAAAGCCAGAGGCGAATAAAAAGAGAAACTCACGCCCTCTTCCTCCTCCTCCTCCTCATCCTCTGTCTCCTCCCCCTCTCTCACTCCTCTCCTTGGCTCCTTCTCTCCTTTGCCCTGATGACGATGACGACGACCACGACGACGACGACGACGAGGCTGCCGATGCGGCGCGCCCGTCGTCTTTCCCCCACCACCACTACCACCACCACCACCACCACCACCACCACCACCATTACTGCCGCCGCCGCCGCCGGGCCCCCCGCAACCAGAGCGACCAGGCGTCGGCCTGGTTGTGCCCGTGCAGCTGGGCGCGCCCCCCACGACCCTCCTCCCACTCGCTGCGATAATGATTTTGTTGCTCTGCTTCCTCGCCTCCTCCCCCCTCCACGCCTCCTTTGCCCTCGCAAACCCCAACCCGGGAAACACGCAGTCCAGCGGCGGCGGGCCACCAGAGGTGACCGTCGGCACGGAGACAGTCGCGGTAAGACTGCCGCTTCTTTGTCTTTGTCTTCTTCACGTTCTGCTTTTTGAACGCCCGCCTCCGTCCGTCTCTGCTTTTCGATAAAGATCCATAACGAGCTTGCCGAAGGCGCAAACGGCGTGGCCTACCTGGCGACTGACAGCCATAACAAGGAAGTGATCTACAAGGAAAACAAGCACGAGGATTTCAGCAGCAATGAGGTCACCGCCACTGCGAGAGGTATCGTCTAAGACACAACCCCCGCACCCCAACCCCCCCTTCCGCCACTGCAGTCCCTTCCCTTCCCTTCCCTTCCCTTCCCCTCCTATTAAATACCGCCTCTTCCCGCCCCGAACGTCACTCTCCCAGCTGGTCAGTACATTTCGCACGACGGCAAAAAAATGGTCCAAAAAAAAGTCGGCGACATGGACCTTTCCGAGTACCTCAAGTCCGACAAGGCCAAACAGCTCAAGCTCGCCAGCGGCGAGAAGCTCAGCGAAAAGATCATGTCTCAGATCAAGGATCAAGAGAAGAATGTCGGCTTCCGCCACTTTGACATCCACCCGGGCAACGTCCGTGTCGACACCTCGGACGTGAACGCGCCAAAGTTCGAGCTGATCGACTGGGGGAAAGGTAAAAAAAAAAAGGCGTCTTCTTCTTAAACCTCCTTCGTCCTCTTCTTCTTTGTTTGGGGCTTGCTTTCTTTACCGTCATTTAACACTCGTCGGGGGCGGGGGGGTGCGGTTTGCAGCGAAAAAGGCGGGCGAGTACACGCCCGAGGAAGCCAAGAACTGGGACGTGGCCGAGCCGAAAATCATCGCGGGCGAGTGCGCCGCGCACGGGTTCTCGTTCCGCGCCGCCGGCGCAGCGGGCCGCAACGTGTACCGCCGCGCCGCCGCCGGCAGCGCCGCGTGTAAGCAGGCCAGCGCGAAGAACGTGGCGAAAAAACGTCAACGCGTTCTTTGCCGGCAAGCAGACGAACGCTGACGGGTCCCTGAACATTAAGGTCTGTGCCGGGGGAGTTTTCACCCTTTCCTCTTTCTATTCTGATCCTCGTACTGATCCTCGGTGGCCTCAAAAAAAAAAAAAAAAAAATCAGGCGACGCTCGCCGCACTGAAAAAGAACAACCCGAAAGCGGCCGGCACCGTCACAAAGAGTACGATTGCGGCGGCGCGCGGACTCGGCAAGGACAAGAAGACGAAGGCGGCGGCGGCGGGCAGCAAGGAGGCCAAGACAAAGGCGACGAAAGGTACCAAGAAGAGCAAAGCGGCGGCCGGCTTGAAGGGCGCGAAGAAGAGCAGGGCGGTTGCGGGCAAGAGCAAAACGAAGAAGAACTCCAAGGCGACGTCGACCAAGAAGGGCGCAAAGAAGAGCCGCGTGCAAGCCGGCAAGAGCAAGAACGGCAAGGCGACGACGAGGGCGGCAGGCACTAAGAAGAAGAGCGTCGGCAAGGCGAAGGGGGCGGCAAAGGCGAAGCAGGCGAAGGCGCCGAAAGCGGTCAAGGCAAAGGCGGCCACCCGCGCGGCCAAAGCTCCAAAGAAGGCGGCGGCGCCAAAGAAGAAGGCCACGACTACGACGAAGACGCCGAAGCGCGCGGCGGCGGCGAGGACGGGGGGCGCAAAGAAGAACGCTGCGTCCCCAAAGAAGGCTGCGGTGAAGGCGGCGGCGGCTCCGGCGCCGAAGCGCAAGAAGTGAAGCGGGAACGCTCGGCCGATCGCGGCGAGCGTGGTGGACGTCCTTTGGTTGTATTCCCCTTTTCTTATCTTGGCTTTCGCCCTCGAGCTGCCTTTCGCTTTCTCTCGCTATGAACCGCCCAAACTCTCCCAGCAGTCAATCATCTAATCCAGTCCCATCCATCCCATCCCATCCTTTCCTATCCGCTTATCCCTTCGCCCTTTTCGGAATCCAAGTCGAAAGAGGCTTTTTTTCATAGTAAATAACATTCGTAGAGGATGCGCAATAACATCAGCTGGTTCAATGGTCCGTGCTGGCGGGATTGTTGTTAAGATGTGAGAGTTCGAGAGCACTAGCTGTGCGAGGGTTGCCCGAGGGTGCAGACCGCATATCGAGGAGCTTCACGGGCCACACACTCACTCCCAGCATTCACACACACACACACACACACACACAGCCAAGAGAGACAGAAAGAGACAGGCACAATATTGGGAAACACCAAGGATGGTACATCGTTTTGAACTGTTTTGAAAAGTCCATAATGAAGGTTCGATGTTGAACCGGAAGTCAAAACTGGCTCAAGCTTTGAATCCAAGCGCGTTGGTTTTTGACCCGCCATCAACAAATCAGGATGACTCGGATCTCGCATGCTCTGTCGATTCTTCACCGTATATCTGAATATTCGACCATGATTCTTTACCGCATATTTGAACATTCAGGGTTAGGGTTAACCCCCCGGGTCGGTTTGCTGTGAATCGAAACGAAACTAATCAAGCTGTCGGGAAGCTGAAGGCTTGTCGTGCTTCAAATTTTGAAACGGGCGATAAGGCAAAAGGTGCTGTCAGTCAAAAAAAGTGATGGTTGATGAACCGATCGGTCAATCGCGGTGTCTCGGGCCCGTCGTTAACACGAAGCTTTTTTTCGGGTCATCGCTGGGAACGGGTATGTTATCTCGCCGCTAGGGCGGAGCCGCAAGCAAACTGCGGATGGAGCGAGGAGCGAAGGAGCGGAGGGTGGGATTGGCGGGTTGGACGCTGTCCTTCCGCGCTTCTGGAGTGGAGAAGATGGTGGGTTCATCAATGTACAGCTAGCAGAGCCGTCGAACATCGCAATCGGTTGGTGGACCGATTGCCTCTCCTGTCGCTCCTCTTCGCGTTGTTGGAGTGATCTCTTCGAAAGCCACGTCGGTGTCTTTCCCGCCTTGTCAGAGTGATTTTATTTTGATTTTATAGCTGGGCTTTACAGTGAGCGCGCGCGTTTAGGTGCCTTCATATTGAGGGGCGCTTTGTCTAACGTCTCACGAGCAGTTTTGTCGGAGCAGTCGGTCGTGAGCGAACAAAAAGTATTCGATTGGATGCAATGGCGTGCAGTCATTTGCACAGACCCGTGTTGATGGTTAAGCACAAAGTGGGCGCAACGCCGGTGTTCAGCATTTCACGCGGAAAGTTCGCTAATAACCACTTATAGGTTACGCCATATTCCATTGGGCAGATTCGAAGTGCTTGACTACTAGTCGATGTGGATGCTTTTGCTCAAAACTTGAGCTGTCCGACCGGTCAGGCTGTGTTACGGTTGGACCGAAATGCCACTCAGTGGGGTAAGTGTCTTCTCGGATTTAGAGCAGCATCTTTGAAACTAGCAGTCGTACGTGTGCGTGTGTGTGTGTGTGTGTGTGTGTGTGTGTCGTGTGAATGTCCTGTTTGGCGACTGAGCAGGAAGGAATGGGTAGAACTTGCAAAAATCA